ACACACACACACGGTCTTTCGGGGATTACACAGCATCGACCAGGCATGGGGGGGAGGGGGAATCGCATACTTTTTCCACTGGCACATCGGAATCGCACCAGTGCGCCATGGTGGCGAGATGTTAACTACCTCGCCTGGTATACAGGAGGTCGTGGGTAATATACATTTTTTTAAATGAGAACAGTTTAGTTTTTTAACGGTACGGGGTGGTTTTCCAAACTGGCTATTTTCCAAGCCGAAATCAAACTGGGAAAACACTGACCTCACAAACATATCTGGATCTGGCTGGTGGCCAAGCAGATTCGAGGGCAGGGTTTCAACTTTGTAATCATTGCAAGTGATGCCAGCAGCACGGCTCGGGATCTGCAGTGGAAAAAAAGAGCCCTGCGAGTCCTCAAGCGCCGCCGGGCTACACGGGCACAGCCCTGGTTCGGATCGCTTGTGCAGCGGAGAGTCGGTGTCTGTGGCACCATTGGGAATATTTCATCAGATGAGGAATCCTATAAGGAAAACTCCCAGAGCAGTGCATCCCCATGTTAGAGAATGGCACGTGGAAGCGGATATCCATGGAACCTATTTTGAAGTCGCTTCAAGTGACCGCTTATTCACACTCGGGGACAGAGTAATGTCTGTCACAGTGTAATGTTTTCACAGTCAACCCGATATTGTTTTAATTGTCGTCTGGAATTTAGGCAAATTAAGCGCAAACCCGATTTTGGTTACCGGGCTGAGATCATAAACCCACTAGATTTGACAACACCCTAATTTAATGATGGGTGGCTGCCCAGTTTCAAACCCAAGAACTCGTCTCTGCCAGGCCAATCGCCTCTCCTGTACCTTCCACCGTGTATCTTCTTCAAAGCACAAAGAACATTTTGTCTCGGCAGATCGTCACGTGACTATAAGACTGCGAATTAACGAGGAGAGTGCCGGGGTGAATAAGGTTCATCATCAGCCTCTGCCCTGGCTCCCTCTCTCCACTTGAATCGTCAGCCTTTCCCGCATCATTCTCTCTCCTTCGGGGATGCTGTCACCGTGCAGCGGTTGAGTGGAGCTGGACGCGCGATCCAGAGGCCGCCGGTTTCGGTCGAGAAGTACCGGCGCGCACATCGCAACGATTGCGCACGCGACTTTAAAATCTCCCCCGTGCCGCCTCGGTCCAACTCAGCGCTGCAAATGGGCGCACCGCGGGTTAGTCGATGGGCGGTTCGCGCGTGGCGGAGTAAAGCGTGGATGGATACTCCGTACCGCTGCCGAGACGTTTTGGCCCAGCAGCGGAATATTCGGCCAAGAAACACGCGACCTTCTTTCTGTGGAGGGGCTCTCTGGAGATGCCTTCGAGTGCAGGGGTCAGCAACCCGCGGCTGTGGAGCCACACGCGACCTCCATAGAGGGCTGCTCGTGGGGCGTTGTTTTACAAAGGGCCGTCTCCTGTCTACGTGCAGTGCGGCTCTTGAAATATTGAGGGTTTTTTTCACGAATTAGATTTTTTTTTCAATGGTTCTTCATTTTGGTTGCCGATGCCCGCCCACCCCCTACCCCCCTGCTTTAGTGGATGCCCACAGGTGGTGTGGCAAAAGTAATGTGCAGGGCTGCACTATTATACCATGACCCTCTTTGATTGAAGCAAAGCCGAGCGTGACCATTTTAAAACAGCGGCACCTTCGCCCGAGACCCCGCGAGACCTTTGCCCCCGAGTGACCTTGTCGCTTCACAAAGACAAAGATTCCCCCCGTGTAGCCTTGGCAGACTGTTGGGGCAAGTGCTGTTAGCGAGCACCTACGAAGGCCGGAACGGCACACGAGGGGGTGGGTGGCCAGCACCACGCCCGGCCGCCTTTGTCTCCTCAGTGGCGATGTTTACCACCACGCCGCGACAGATACTCATTTGAGGCTCAGTCGACCTAGGGGAGGCCCAGGACCGGGTTCAGATCATCGTCACCGGGTGTTGGTGGCCGTGAGCGGGAATCGAACTCGGCTCGCCGGGGTTCGGAGCGCAGCGTAGCGCTAACCGCTGCGCCACCGCTCCCATTGTCTTGTCGCTCGTTGTTGCTTAACGCAACTCGCGGCGCGCGTGTGATTTGTTTTGAGTGACGCACCCGGTGGTTGCCCTGCCCAGCCCTCTCGGTCGGTGTCTCGCAATCGCCGTTGGGGGCCATCCACTTGGTCCGTACGCAAACATCTGACAAAACTTGACCCCCCCTCCCTCCCTGTACGCACGCGGATTTTTTACACCCCTACCCCCACCACCTGCGTACGTTCGCCTGACGCACCCCGCCTCCCGCCCCCCCCCCCCCCCCCCCGAATCCTATAGAACGGCCGATATTTAATCCACGCAGAAACGATCAAGGATTAATAATATTAACGTGTTTAAGCAAACAGATAGTCCACTGCCGGACTATGTAACTCATTTGAAAGCCAATGTAGACAAATTATTGTCGAGGCTTCAGCCCCCCCCCCCCCGTTTCCTATGCTACATACGCTGTCAGTAACCCCCCCCCCCCCCCCATACGCAAGCATACGCATTTGGGTTAACGCCATCCCCCCTCCATGCGTACTGAATGGATGGCCCCTTAAGGAAATCCCCCCCCCCACCCCCGCGCCCTCCCCCAGACCCCACCACCCCCCAAAAAAACATTGCACACGACCAGAGAGAGTTGGCGTCTACCTCGGTCGCTTCGAGGTTATCCCCCCCTTTGGTTGTGACTCGTTATTCAAACAAAGCAGTTTTCATGAGAATGTGTCACCCTTTCTGAGAATAACACAGTCGTGTCAAGATGTTGCAACACCAAACTGAAGCCGTTTTGCAAGGAATCGTGTCTGCATTAAGGCCGTATACTTGTGGCGAACATGCAAAACAAAAAACACATGCTCCGGTAGTTTAATCTTGAGTTGAAGCTTTCGTGACTGCAGGGATCTATACTCTTTAGTTCTTTCGGTAAAGTCAAAGAGTATGCTCTGGTAGTAGACGATGCGTTGTCTTTGCAACTGATTGGTCCACACCAGAGACAGCTTTCTTTAGAGCCTCGTCTCAAGCAGTGTTAGACCAGAGGACGACGCCAAAAGGCGAACAGCACAAAGACAATGCCACTCTCAGGGCATTGAGAGCTCGGGGTGAGCAGCTACATCATGGGACCTCCTTTTATTCTGATACTGGCAAGGGAGGTCCAATGAAACAGTTTTCCGTGTTAACACGCAAGGAGGCCTTCGCGACCAAACATCATCCATAGCAGAGGTACTTTTTTGGGGTGAAATCGCGTGAATTATAAATGCGTCCTTGAACCCCGCCGTCACCACGCGACACAGCCAATTGTCAAGGTTTGTCACGTAAACAACGCGCGTCAATTCGCTACTGGTACAGCACCAACCGGTTGTGTGTTGGCGAGTAAACCTACAACGTGTACAATTCGAGTACGACGTTTCGTCAGCAATTACAGACGGCGTTATCAGGCGGCAGCCAGATTTACTGGCGAGACGTCCTACTCGAATTGTAAAGCGCTTTCCTCTGACACTCCTCGCTTAAGTCTCAATAAAAACAAAAACGCGACCATTCTTCGCACGCACGCGCGCGAGCACAGTTACCATTCAGAATCGTCTGTCCCACCCCCACCCCACCCCGTTCAATATCTTCACACTGACCTGCCCTGCAATCCACGCTGCAGTCCGTTGCGCCTTTAAATCTATAAGTAGAGATTGCCCTGTCCAATCGAGCGGCGCGTGTCTGCCACTGCGCCACTGGGAGGATCGTTCAGAGAGCACGCGCCGCTGATCGTCGCGTGCACAGGGCGTAAATTAAATCCAGGACCTCGTCAACCGCTCAAACCCAACAACAATAACAACAACAAACCACAGTCGCGAGTGCCAGGCTAGGTGCGCGCTCGACACTTTGTCCTGCGCCACGCGCACGCCGTCGTCACGGTGCCGTGCTCCATCATCACGCTGGGACAATTGGACTCGCAATCCAAATGCCGCAGGTTCGATTTCCCGGCATGGGAATTGAAACAATGGGAACGCGTTTAGTAAACCGCCCCCCCCCATCCCCCCCCCCCAACAGCCTCTGTCCATCCAGCCGCATAAAACAAAATAATTCCCGACAGTTGTTCGATCGACAGGTTCGCGTGCGATGAGATAAAACGTGGACACCTCCCTCGTCTGCCAAGACACCTGCTCCGTGTGGAAGAGTAGGCCAAGTGCCTTCTCTCGGGGGACTCCCTTCAGCCCCCCCCCCCTCGTGGGGGACCCTTCCACCAGCAGTGGCACGAGTTGGAAATCTTACTCGAGACAACCTGAACTGCGACATTCACACTGGTACCGATCGGCTTGACGCTGCTATAGGCTTGGACATCTGTCTCTGACAGCAGTAGCTGTGAGTCAGTCAAGATATGGGACATCTGCCTCTGACACAGCCGTAGCTATCGGTCAGTCAAGATATGGGACATCTGTCTCTGACACGGCAGTAGCTGTGGGTCAGGTGGTGGGACATCTGCCTCTGACACAGCTGTAGCCGTGGGTCAGTCAAGATATGGGACATCTGACTCTGACACAGCCGTAGCTGTGGCTCAGTCAAGATATGGGACATCTGACTCTGACACAGCCGTAGCCGTGGGTCAGTCAAGATATGGGACATCTGACTCTGACACAGCCGTAGCTGTGGCTCAGTCAAGATATGGGACATCTGACTCTGACACAGCCGTAGCCGTGGGTCAGTCAAGATATGGGACATCTGCCTCTGACACAGCCGTAGCTGTGGCTCAGTCAAGGTGTGGGACATCTGCCTCTGACACAGCAGTAGCTGTGGCTCAGTCAAGGTGGTGGGACATCTGCATCTGACACAGCCGTAGCTGTGGGTCAGGTGGTGGGACATCTGCCTCTGACACAGCCGTAGCTGTCGGTCAGTCAAGATATGGGACATCTGCCTCTGACACGAGTGCACGCGTGGGCATCGGCGCGGGGTAGAGGGGATGAGTGAGCGAGCGAGCGAGCGAGCCGTCGCGTACGCACCACGGACTTCTCCTCGTCGGTCCTCCGGGGCTGGTAGCGCTGCAGCGCCACGCAGCTGTCTCCCTCCACGTTCAGCTCCATGGCCAGGCTCTGCCGAATGCTTCGCGTCACGGGGCACAGGCGGTCGAACATGGTGCTGCCTCCCCCTCCGCCTTCGCAAGCCGCCGTTCTCTCTCCCCGGCGGTGGTCGTCTTCCTCCCCGCCTCCCTCCTCTGTCCGCCTCCTCGGCCACTTGATGCGGCGTTTTATTTTCGTTGGGTCCCAGCCACAGCGGTTGTCACTGGAGTGCCAGGGGGGTAGGAGGGTTTATTCCCCTCTCCTCCTGTGTTTTGTTACTGCCGGTGTCTGCTGGACTGGTTTTCGTCTGTGAGAAAATTAAATGGGTGTTAAGTGGTTTAAAAAAGAAAATGTTTAATTGGACATGACCTCACTGGTAAACAGAGTGGAACAATACCACTCTGTGAGAGGCAATGTTTATATTGTACGATGTAGATTTTATTTGTTTTGCTTATAAACAAATATAGCATTTTTTTGTTCCATAATTTAAACTCCGGGGAGCGTGAGCACACTGAACTGCGAACTTGGAAACCAGAGTTAAAATCCGGGCCAAGGCTACTCATATCAGCGTGGCAAATTATATCTAAAACGGTCACTCAAAAGCAGCACTGCCGAGGCGCGGTGAAGTATGGATAATCAACCCCCATAAACTGACTGCGGTGGCTTGTACTGTATAAACAATTGTACTTACTTTTAGGAGACGATTAATCAGTTAAAAATAGGAATATGAAAAAAATGTACATACACACGCACAAGAAGTGCAACTCGTAACTAACCGAAAACGCAGCGGCGTTAGTCTGAAAAAGGCAACGATTTAATCTACAACGTTTCGTAATAACCTTACGATCGACTCCAATCACCGCGCGACATGTCGCATTAAACGAAACAGCGAATGCAAAAGTGGAAAAATCCGCACGCCTTACCGGGGGGTGGGGGGTGGAGGTGGGAATACCGCAGGCAAATTTTCTTCCAAGTACTCTGGCACCGTTCGTTCAGTCCATTGGTTTGTCGAACACTTTTGACTCTGCTCCTTCACCTCTAAGTGAGACCGAATCAAATCAGCCGCGGGCAAAAAGCATCAGCCGCAATAGCAAACAGAGCACCGCCGTTCACGGGTCAGTACCACCACCACCACCAACCACTGCTGTTGTGTGATCCGCTTGGCGATCAGAGGCTTAACCCAAGCCCCCCTTTTTTGCTTGCTTGATCGGAGACTCTGCGCGTTCCGACCGCTGCCGTTAACACCCAAAACTACTTCGTCATATTCGCTGCCCGCTAGCGCAGTCCCGGCTGCTTCGTGCCTGTTTCGCCGCTTGTTTGTGAGCTGTCATCCTTAGTTCGAGTCTCCTGGGATAACCTCCTCCTACTCCTACCTACTCTTATTCTTCTTCTCTGGTAGCTCTGTACATTTTTAAGAAAATGTCTATTCCGGGCTCGATTTCGCTCTGTCTCGCTCTCTCTCTCTTTCTCTCGCTCCCTCTCCGTCAGTTCTGTCTCTCTGTGTGTGCGCGCTTGCACTCGCGCAGGGATGATGCTCGCAGCGCTGCGAGAGGCTGATTGTTATTCATGCTAAGCCACTCCTCCCTTCTCGCCGTCTCCTCCCCGCCCATTTCCTCCTGCTGGGAGACACGCGGAGCAAAGCAAAACACGCGATGGATTAAGACTCACCCCGGACCGGACTCGACTGGACTGGTGGCTGCTAAGTGGAATTGTTTTTTTGCTTGTTTTTTTCAAACATTCATCATCATCGTCGTCGCGATCACGATCCATGGGCAGATAACCCCGTAGGTGTCCAACTGCACATTTCGTCGTTTGTTTCCACTTTCCTCTCTTGTCTTGTGTGGTAATTATGCTCAAGTAGTGACCGCATCTCTTCCGGCACCGATCTCTTTTTGTCGTCATCACGCCATTCTCTCTCTGAGGTCTTCATCTCTTCCAGGTTCCTTCCATTTTTCCGAACAGCACACTTGAAATGTTCCCCGTTGTTGTCCATCCCACTACATATGTTTGTCCAAATAGTGCCAGTTTCATTCTCATCACTGCCGCATGCATCACCAGCTCTCTTCTACGTGCAAACTATTTAACACATTCCTGCGGAGGGAGCTGGCAGGAACGTTGGGTTGCTCCGTCAATGGCCAGGGTCAACGGCGGCGTGGTGTATTCCGCAAATATGCCCGACTGTGAGGGCGGGCAGAAGCCGGCGTGAGTAGGTGAAACGTTGAGTTTTATAAGGGCACCACGGGGTGACCACCCCCTCCCCGCCCAGCCTCACCCCTCCCAACCCCCACCCAGCCCCACCCTCCCCACCCAGCTCCTCCCCACCCTCCCCTCCCCACCCAGCCCCTCTCTCCCCACCAAGCCCCTCCCTGCACGACGGACACAATAATCTCCTGTGGGCTGGTGTAACCAGGAGGTTCCTACCAGTATTAGTCTACGTCGGTTGCTCTTTTGGTCCAACTTAGATGCAGTATTCTTCTCGAGCAACGACATTACAAATATTAGCGATGAGATTAACCGCAAAAGCGCATCTCATAGGCCACTGGGTTATTTTTGCACACAATCTGACATGTCCTTAAACGGGAATACATATCAATGCGTTTTACAGGCCACATATTTTGACGAGCACAACACGACATGACCCATTCCCATCACTGTCACTACTGCACCAAGAATAGCGCATCTCCTATGCATAGTAAGACAATCATCGAGAAGACTCCAGGACATGATAGCTTTTAAAAAGGTCGTTCTCTCGTCTGCCGTGTACATTATCAATGTTTTTTCTTGCTGTGTTTTTCACACCTGATGATTGCTTGTGTTGCAGTCAAAACGTCGTGAGAATTTTACTGTTTTATATTTGTATTATTTTATTGTTTCCCTTCTACGTGACTTTACCGAAAGAACCAAGAATATGAATCCCTGCAGTCACGAAAGCTTCAAATCAAAATGATCAATGTTGTCATGTTTTTAATGTAGTTTTTTTGCTCTGCAATCACTTTCCTACTGAGTAATTATTTCCAACATCCCTTTGCTCCAGCGCCTCCAGATGTACAGTCCTACATTGGAGGCGGTGTATAAATATAAAATAACAATGCTAATAACGATCGCACATTTTTTTTGCGAGGTTATTAGGGGTAGCTGTAAGAGAGACAGAGAGAAGTGGAGTGGTGGCGCAGTGGTTATGAGCCCAGTGAGCCGAGTTGAATTCCCAGGCACGGCTAACAACAGTGGCGAGTGACAGCTGAAACTGATCCTGAGCATCCACCTTCATCAACCCACAATGACAAGCGTGGTGAAGTATGACAAACAATAAGTATAACCCGTAAAAACAAAGTTTTTCACTATAAATCCTTTATATGTGTGGCGGCTAGAGTCCTCTCGTCCTCTGCCTTAAGATGGCTGCCACCTATGGGTCAGATGATTGTCTGCCAGTATTAAGCAATTGGTAATTAAATATTTAATTTGTTTTCCCTAAACGGTGTAAAATTTTGGAAAAAAAATTTTCACGAACATTAATTGTCTCGCACAACGAGTCTGTGTGCAAAATGTCAGCTCGATTGGATCACGGGAAGTGGGTTAAAAAACGACCGAAAGATTTGCACGGTCGTAAGCAAGCAAGCAAGCACGCAAGCAAGCAAGCAAGCATGCGAACTTAATATAAAGGATTTAAACAAGTATAACCCGTAAAAACAAAGTTTTTCACTATAAATCCTTTATATGCGTGACAGCGAAATTAATATAAAGGATTTAAAAATATATTTGCCTGTGGAGGACGCGGGGATCGATTCCACAACCTTTGGCATGGGAAGCGAGGGCGCTACCAACTGCGCTACTCCGCCACGGCCTGTAGAGGGGTTATGCTCTGGGCTCTTATACTGTGACGCTCAGCCAAAGCCATGAATGCATCCTATTTGAATATATGTAAAATATTTTTTTTTGCCTAAAAAGTGTAAAATTTTGGGAATTTTTTTCACGAACATTAATTGTCTGGCACAACGAGTCTGTGTGGAAAATGTCAGCTCGATTGGATCACGGGAAGTGGGTTAAAAAACGACCGAAAGATTTGCACGGTCGTAAGCAAGCAAGCAAGCACGCAAGCACGCAAGCAAGCAAGCACGCAAGCATGCGAACTTAATATAAAGGATTTAAAAAAACGACGTGACTGGCACAGGGGAGGCTTTAATCCGGCAGTGCATTTACAAAGGGCTGATAATGAAATGAAACAAGCAACAGACGGTCACATGAGTAGCATTTCCCGATTTAGTTGAGTTCTTTTTTTTACATCGGGTTATGGCAAAACCGTAGAGGGATCTACTCTTGCGTATCATGTTCCCGTTCCAGCATTAGCTGTCCGGGGTTGTTACCGCATGCGGTTTTGCCCGGTGTCCGACGTTCCGCTCCACATGCTTGGGAGCTTCTTCGGGAACTGAGCAGTGAGTTGACGCTGCTTTATCACTCGAATCGAGGAGAGTTTGAGGACCATGCATTGATAATATTTAAGTGAACAACAAATATTGTCATTTTTTTTTAAACACGATGTTGTTTGTCTTTCAAATGTGATTATTAAAGATGTTATTGTTAGTTTTAACTTGAGGTTGGTAACGCTTAGTCTGTGCTCTGCAGTTGCCTGGATGAAAAGTTGGCTGAGTTTTGCACATCCCCGACAATTCATCGGCGAAGCTTCTACGACCTCCAAAAAAAAAAACCGACGCAGCAACGTCCCAGTGTATCGTTTGACTGCCAACTTTACGTGCACGCAAGCCACCAACACTCTTGCACTTGAAAACGTGCCTCTTAGTCACCGCCGACCGGGCACATGTGTGAATCAGACACGCTGACAACACAGGCACTGTCCTCCTGGATCAGCACATGCGCGAGCTTATCCCGTGGGGCTTTACTGGCGAATGCGACAGCCGCACAGGGTGGCATTGTTGTTGTTGTTGGTGTGCCTATTAACTCGCCGCTTGACTGCGAGCGTTCGAGATGGTCACGCGATTCTTCGAGTCGAGAGCAGGCAGGCTCTCGCTCGTGTTGCGGGGAGTTGTGGCGGGTTAGCCAGTGGGGGGCCTGTAGCATGATGTTATAAAGGGGCCCTAAATTAAACAACAACAAAAACACGTAAATTTTAGAACACACATTTTTTACTTGCATAGCAAAGTAATTGTGTTTTTTCATTTGCTATACGGACAGATAATACGACAAATCGCTAACCGTAAACACCCAGTCGTTCATAAAAGTTAAAGGCGGTAGAGTACTATAGTAATCGAGCAAGTGCAGAATCACTGAACCGGAATTGAGAGCTTGAAAGCGTTTAGCGCGGGGCCCTTGAAAGTGCGGGGCCCGTAGCACGTGTAGCTACTACACATGTGTAGTAGCTACACATGTGTAGTAGCTACTACATGTGTAGTAGCTACTACACATGTGTAGCTACTTGTGCTACGAGGACAATCCGGTACTGGCGGTTCGCGCTACGCTGCGCTACGAACCCCGGCGACCCGAGTTCGATGCCCGCTCACGGCCAACACCGGTGTCGATTTTATCAACCTGTCCTGAGCCTCCCCTAGGTCGACTCAGCCCGGAGACAAAGGCGGTCGGGCGTGGTGCTGGCCACCCACCCCTTCGTGTGCCGTTTCGGCCTTCATAGGTACTCGCTAATAGCACTTGCCCCAACAGTCTGTTAAGGCTATACGGCGGGAACTTTGTCTTTGTTTCAATGTAATCCAGCCCGCAGTGAGCGGTACGACTCCTCGTCACTTAAGCGCAGCTGAGCATTTTGGCGAGGCCAATGGGCCACAACTTTTGTTTGGGTCTTAAACGAGGCACGAGCCCTCTTTTATGTCAGTTTGTTTCTTACGACGTTCAAAACTCCTCGAACTCACGCGAGCAGCTCGATGCGACGTGCCAAATGCACACACGAAGCAGCGAAAGTCATAAAACGCGTGGGGTTTTCCGCAGCCTCGCATTCAATAACACTGTGCTGACGAGAGAGAGAGTTGTATGAGCCGCGAGCGTTGCCGATTCCATGTCACGTACTCCAGCTCTCCGCGAGCGCCACATTTCCCCGCACACACCCATGGGCAGGCACCCCCACATGTGCTTCTCAATCATGGCCCACCCCACCCCACCCCCTCCCAACAAATCCACTCACCCACCCCACCACCCACTGCTGTCATCCAAGTCACAAAACAAAGTATATATGGCCGGGCCCACTCACTCTCTCTCTCTCTGCAAGCCCATGTACTGCGAGCAGCACAATGGGAAAACATAATTAAACCGCTCGTTGTTCGGCGGTGATAAGAAAGGTAATTGACTAAAGACATCAGTCACAACAACAACAACAACACAAACACAAAAGCAAATGAATGCATGGCAGGTATTATGGAAATTCCTTGCAAGATATATTGTTTTAATCCATAATACAGGTTTTTTTTTGGGGGGGGGGGGTTAGATCGCGTAAATATATAAATGTGTCGTTAAACCCACCACCACCCGACACAGCTAACTAGTAAGGGTTGTCACGTAAGCAG